TTGTATTAGTTTCAGGTGTACAGCATAGTGGTTAGGCAGTCATCTATATAATAAAGAGGAAATATGCTAATTTGTCCATGACGGTGTCCCAGTCACGACCAGTCTGTGGGCAGGGCCAGGGGCAGGGACTTCCGCCCCCAGCACTAACGTCACGCTGCCTGTGTGCATCCTGGTTCAGCACTGGTCTGGTGCTGCAGGGGAGAGGGAGGGCTGGGCTGACGCCCCGGCCGCTGGGAGACCTCAGGCCGTGCCCCCCGACTGGCAGGGCTTGACGGAAGACCTCAGGCCACGCCCCACGCCCAGCAGGGCTTGACAGGGGATGCCAGGTCGGGGGACCTGAGGCTGCGCCCCCCCCCACACCCGGAGGGGCTTGACGGGGGTGGGGCCGGCCAGGTCTAGGTCTCACCCAATGGGGGTGGGGCCAGCAGGGTCTGCGTCTCCTGTGTTTTCGAAGCACTTGAGGGTGATGGGCTGGGACTTCACTCTGGGTCCCAGAGCGCACCCCTGACAGGAAGGAGATTTTATATACATTTTACTAATTTTCTTTCATCTCTGACACTTCTATTATAGAGAAAGGGCAGATAGCAATATTAAAATATTTCTTCTCATTAATTCTCTTGTTTTTTCTTAAAAAAATATATATTTTATTGATTTTTTACAGAGAGGAAGGGAGAGGGATAGAGAGTTAGAAACATCGATGAGAGAGAAACATCGATCAGCTGCCTCCTGCACACCCCCTACTGGGGAAGTGCCCACAACCAAGGTACATGCCCTTGACCAGAATTGAACCTGGGACCTTTCAGTCCGCAGGCCAATGCTCTATCCACTGAGCCAAACCAGTTAGAGCTAATTCTCTTTTAATGTGCACAAATTTCGTGCACCAGGCCACTAGTTTATAATAATAAAAGCGTAATATGAAAATCAACTGAACGGCCGAATATCGGGACAACCTTTCAGATGACCTTCCAGACGAAGTCGGGGCTGCTAGGGCCTACTCTTGCATGAATTTTGTGCATCAGGCCTCTAGTGTACTTTATAAAATGATCCCCTTGATATTTCAAGTACCCACCACCGTAAATAGTTATTACGGTATTATTGACTATATTCACTGTGCTGTATTTTACATCCCCGTGACTATTTTGTAAACTAAAATTTTACTTATAATTTTACAATAATCCCTTCACCTTTTTTACCCAGTCCCCCAACTCCCCTCCCCTCTGGCAACCATGAGTCTATTATCTCTGAGTCTGTTTCATTTGTTTATTTTTTTCATTAGATTCCACATGTAAGTGAGATCATTTGATATTTGTCTTTCTCTGACTTCTTTCACTTAGCACAGTGGCCGACAAACTGCAGCTTGCGAGCCACATGTGGCTCTTTGGCCCCTTGAGTGTGGCTCTTCCACAAAATACCAACTTCTGCACATGGGCCACGAAGTTTCAATCGCACTGTATGTGCGCACCCGCACGTGGTATTTTGTGGAAGAGCCACACTCAAGGGGCCAAAGAGCCGCATGTTGCTGGTGAGCTGCAGTTTGCCGACCACTGACCTAGCATAATACCCTCTAAATCAGTGGTTCTCAACCTTCTGGCCCTTTAAATACAGTTCCTCATGTTGTGACCCAACCATAAAATTATTTTCATTGCTACTTCATAACTGTAATATTGCTACTGTTATGAATCGTAATGTAAATATCTGATATGGAGGATGGCCTTAGGCGATCCCTGTGAAAGGGTTGTTTGACCGCCAAAGGGGTCGCAACCCACAGGTTGAGAACCACTGCTCTAAATCCATCCATGCTGTCACAATGGTAAGATTTCATTCTTTTTTATGGCCAAATAATATTCTGTTGTGTATATACCACAACTTTTTATCCACTTGTTTATTGATGGGCATTGGGTTGCTTCCATATCTTGGCTAGTTTAAATAACCCTGCAGTGAACATAGGGGTAATATATATTTTTTTGAGTTAGTGTTTTGGGTTTCTTCAGATATATACCCATAAGTGGAATCGGCAGGTTATAAGGCAGCTTCATTTTAAATTTTTTGAAGAGTGGCTACACCATTATGTATTCCCACCAACAGTGGCCAAGGGTTACCTCAGAAATACTACCTTTGAACAGTCAATCTGAAATTTCCTGATTAGTACTAGTGCAATAATCTTCATGATAAAACCTCTGTCAGGTTTCCTTGCCTCAAAAAGTTGATGGCTCAGTGTTTGAGCATCAACCCATGCACCAAGAGGTCACCAATTCCATTCCTGGTCAGGGCATATGCCCGGGTTGCAGGCTCGATCCTCAGCAGGGAGCATACAAGAGGCTGTTGATGTTTCTCTCTCATTAATGTTTCTATCTCTCTCTCTAAAAATACATATATTAAAAATTGATGACCTGTGTAGATAGCAGGCTGACAGCTGGGAACGGAGGCTTGGGGGGAGAGCCTGGGTGGAGGGGTGGGAGGTGGAGAGACTGAGCATAAAAGAATAAAAAAGAAAGAAAAAACTCACGGACATGGACAACAGTATGGTAATTGCAGGGGTGAGGTGTGGAGGGAGGTAGAGGAGCATATATAGTGGGGATAAATGGTGATGTGGGGAGACTTGACTTGGAGTGATGGCAGGTGATGTATTGTAGAATTGTGCACCCTGTAATCTGTATAATTTTATTAACCACTGACTTCTTTCACGTAGCAATGAACATAGGAATATTTTTTTTTTGACTGAGAATTGAACCATGACCTCTTGGTTCCTGGGATAATGAAAAGTAAGGACCTGAACTAATTTGAACCAATCTGTTATCCAAATCCCACCTTGCTTTCTCTGACCTGCATATAATCTTTCTTACCTTCTCTCTTTAACTCCAAACTTATGAAAAGAAACTGCAAACTGTTATTCTCAGGGGCATTTGAGACTTGCTCCCCCACATATGTCATCAAAAAAGCACCCCTTTTTAGTTCATAATTTTACCAAATTTAATTTCAGTTCATTAATTTGGATTGGCATTGGACAAACTAAGCTTATTTCTTTAGGATTGTTAAAAAGCAAAATTCAACCCAGTAAACATAAAGATCTAATTGATTTTATTGAATGATTCATGAATCCGGAAGCATCCCATCTAGTAAATAGAGGTACTCCCAGGAGTTATGCAAAATGGAAGGGTATTAATGGCAGGAGGATGGGGAAGGAAGTCATTAGTAAAACAAAACAAAAAAAAAGTATTGCTTTAGGCCAGGTAATCAACTTAAAAAACAAACAAACTGAACTTATTGGGTAATGAAAAGCCAGGCAGGTTTGGATGTTTCTTACATCAGCAAAGTAAAATATAAAACAAATGTGAACAGAGATAAAGTTTGGGAGGGATACTGTACAGTATGCCCGAGAGAGGGTTAATGTACTTTTGTAAGAAAAGTGTACACCTAAGAAAAGTTAACTTTGCATAGAAAAATGGGCAGAGGACATCAAGATAAGTCACAGAGGTGTTTTAGATGTTCTAGTAAACATGAGAAACCTGGCAAAGATTTTTAAAAAGAGAAAATGCTTAATGTTGCTATAGATGTACTACTTTTGTACATTGCTGGGGGATGAGAGAGGTATATAAGCTTGTGCTACGCTTTCTGAAAGGCAGCTTAGCAGAGCCTTTGAAATTTTTATGTCCAATAATTCTACTTAAGGTCTATGCTGCCCGGCTGGCATGGCTTAGTGGTTGAGTGTCAACCCAGGAACCAAGAGGTCACGGTTCGATTCCCAGTCAGGTCACATGCTCAATGCCCAGTAGGGGATGTGCAGGAAGCAGCCGATCAATGATTCTCTCTCATCACTGACGTTTCTCTCTCTCTCTCTCCCCCTCTCCTTTCCTCTTTCTCTAAAAATTAATAAAAACACTTTTTTAAAAAAAGTCTATCCCAAGGAAATATATATATATATCTAGTATATGTGTGTGTGTGTGTGTGTGTGTGTGTGTGTGTGTGTGTGTGTGTATGAATATCACTATTTGTAGTGATAAAAAACCTGGAAACTATCTAAATGTCCATCCTTAGGGAAATATGACTAGCTTGTGGTAAATTCATACAATAGAGAGTTAAGTCACTAAGAGTGGGAATTTTTGTACAATTCTTAATGACATGAAAGAATGCTCAAAAACTATTTTAATTCTTTATGCCTGTTTCTCTGTTTCTTTTTTTTATATCAGAGAGGATGGGAGAGGGAGAGAGATAGAAACATCAATGATGAGAAAGAATCATTGATTGGCTGCCTCCTGCATGCTCCCCACTGGGGATCAAGCCTGCAAACCAGGTATGTGCCTTGACCGGAATCGAACCTGGGACCCTTCAGTCCGCAGGCTGACATTCTATTCACTGAGCCAACCAGCTAGGGCTCTCTCTGTTTCTTATATTACAGCAGTCCCTTTAGCATTTCTTACAATTCTGGTTTGGTTGTGACAAACTCCTTTAGCTATTTTTTTGTTTGTGTCTGGGAAGCTCTTTATTTCACCATCTATTTTGAATAATAGCCTTGCTGGATATAGTAATCTTAGTTTCAGATCCTTGCTTTTCATTACCTTGAATACTTCATCCCATTCCCTCTGGCATGTAGAGTTTCTGATGAAAAATCAGCTCACGGCCTTATGGGAGCTCCTTTATAGGTAACAGTTTGCTTTTCTCTTGCTGCCTTTAAGATACACTCTTTGTCTTTAATTTTTGGCATTTTAATTATGTTGTAAATAAATAAGTACTATCAGTAGTAACCTTAAATGTAAATGGATTAATGCTCCAATCAAAAGATATATGGTAACTGAATGGATATGAAAACATGACCCAAATATATGCTATCTACAAGAGACCCATCTCAGAACAAAGACTCACACAGGATGAGAGTGAAGGGATGGGAAAATTTTTTTCCATGCAAATGGAAATGGAAAAAAAAAAAAAGCTCAAATAAACTCTTACAGTAATTCTCTACAAGCTTGTTTGTTTCTTTTTTAATATATTTTTATTGATTTCAGATAGAAACATCTCCCTCTCAAAAGAGATCAAGTCAACAAGAGGATATAACCTTGGTAAACACATATGCACCCAATATAGGAGCACCTAAATATATTTTTAAAAAAACTTCTGGAGGACTTTAAGGGAGAGATCAAAAGAAATACAGTCATAATAGGGGACTTTAACACCCCACTGGATAGATCTTCCAGACAAAAAATCAACAAGGGCCCATGCAGCGTGGCTCAGTGATTGAGCGTTAGCCTATGAACCAGGAGGTCATGGTTCAATTCCCGGTCAAGGCACATGCTGGGTTGCAGGCTCTATCCCCAATAGGGAGTGTGTAGGAGGCAGCCAATCAATGATTCTCTCTCATCATTGATATTTCTGTTTCTCTCCCTCCCTCTCTGAAGTCAATAAAAATATATGTATTTTAAAAATCAACAAGTGACACACTGGATCAGATGGATTTAACTGACATCTGCAGAACATTTCACTCCAAAGCTGCAGAATATACATTCTTCTCAAGTGCACATGGGTCATTTTCAAAGATAGACCACTTGTTAGGACACAAAACAAGTCTCTACAAATTTAAGAAGATTGAAGTCATATCAAGCTTCTTCTCGGATTACAATGTCATGAAATTAGGAATCAGTTGCAATAAAAACGCTCAAAAATATTCAAACATTTGGAGGCTAAATAGCATGTTATTAAACTAGAGCAGTGATGGCGAACCTTTTGAGCTCGGCGTGTCAGCATTTTGAAAAACCCTAACTTAACTCTGGTGCCGTGTCACATATAGAAATTTTTTGATATTTGCAACCATAGTAAAACAAAGATTTATATTTTTGATATTTATTTTATATATTTAAATGCCATTTAACAAAGAAAAATCAACCAAAAAAATGAGTTCGCGTCCACCTCTGACACGCGTGTCATAGGTTCACCATCACTAAACTAGAGGCATGGTGCACGAAATTCATGCACTTGGGGGGGGTGTCTTTCAACCCAGCCTGCACCCTCTCCAATCTGGGACCCCTCGGGGGATGTCCGACTTCCGGTGTAGGCCCAATCGCCTGCCTGCCTGATCACCCCTAACCACTTCTGCCTGCCAGCCTGATCACCCCTAACCACTCCCCTGCCAGCCTGATCAACGCCTAACTGCTCCCCTGCTGTCCCGATTGCCCCCAACTGCCCTCCCCTGCCGGCCTGGTTTTCCCCAACTGCCCTCCCCTGCTGGCCACAGGGGGGTGGCCAGCTTGTGCAAGGGTGTGATGGTCAATTTGCATATTATCTCTTTATTATATAGAATGAATGGGCTACCAATGAGATTAAGAAAGAAATATTAAAACTTCCTGGAAACAGATGAGAATGAACACACAACAACCCAAAATCTATGCAGCACAGCAAAAGCAATTCTGAGAGGGAAGTTCATAGCACAACATGCCTACCTCAAAAAACAAGAAAAATTATTAATAAACTACCTAACCCTACAACCTACAAAATTAGAAAGAGAACAACAAGAAAAGCCCAGAGTAAGTACAAGGAAGGAAATAATAAAGATCAGAGCAGAAATAAATTACATAGAGACCAAAAAATAATAATAATACAAAAGAGCTGGTTCTTTGAAAAATGCTTAAATGGTAGGGGCAAAACCAGAATACAAACTTTTATATACGTAGATTAGTACATAGAAGAATTACAGAGGAAAGATTAGGGTAGCAAATATAGTAATCCATCTAACTATCTTCAATTAGCTAAAACTTTATCTAGAACTCAATCCTGAGTGGTTTTTGGAATGGAGTCCCAGAGGATATCTGAGGAGCAGTTTTCTGTTCTCAGGTAGTTGTTACCTAGCTCTTAAGGGAGCACAAGTCTGTTTTCATCACAGTTCTAGTCAAGCAACTATGGTTTGGGCTCAAATATGGTCTGATGGAGGAAGAAAGACAGATAATTGTGCTCTAGTTGTCATTGCATATTCCATCCATCTGGTTCTGTCTTTTCGGAGTAGTATAAAGATAGACACATGGCTCCAGAAAATGTTCTTTGTCTTTAAGTTTATAAGTTTCGATGGTAAATCAGAAATAGAAAGCTAGCTTTGTTCATCTCCATATCACAGGAATGGGTTCTTCTAAGTGCTTTTTAAAATGGCTAAATTCCAACCTGTGCCCTTCTGTTGCTTCAGTGTCCCTAGTGAGCTACTAGTAACTTGCGTTTAAATATATTCGTCCTTAATGTATCTTGGGTTTTAATCTCTCCTAGATTTCCATCTACAGATGACTGGTATCAGTGGGAACTGGATTAAAAAGAATTCAGATGGGAAGGGAAGGGGTGGGGGCACTGGGAGAAAAAGGGGAAGGGATTTACCAGCGGAGGGGGGTGAGAGGCTTAGGAGAGGGTAAAGAGGGGATAAATGGTGATAGAAGGAAACTTGACTTGGGGTGGTGAAAACACGATACAATATACAGATGATGTATATTGTAACCCTGAAACCTATATTTTATTAGCTATTATCACCCCAATTTTAAAAAATCAGATGGCTTTCTATGAGATCCCTCTACTGTACAAGAGAACAAGAATATTTATAGGAAATGTGTATGTAAGAAGGTGATTGGCAGTGTATGAGGCAAAAGGGAAATGTGGGTTTTGTTTTTGCTCTATTATTTCTTGTCTGTGTCTCTGTTTTTTAAGATTGAAGCAGCTAGAAGTCTCTTGACAATTGGTATAACATTTAAGCATACACAACTTAGTGCTCATTAAATTTTATTCGCATAGGAAAAATTCCAATAGAGGCATTGTTTGCTAATATAAAACTAAATATTGGTAACAGTTTCTTTCCCCGAGGGTGGTCCCAGTATTGGGGTGGAGCTGTTTGCATGGCATTTTCAGAGTTCTCAATAGATCTATCATTTCACTTTATTCTTTTGGGTCAGAAATGGCCTGTTTCTAAGGAACTAAATCCCTCTGATTGGTTAAGGAAATGTTTCATAAAAGATTCTAAAAGTCAGGTCTTAACTGATTTAGCCTTAGGGTCTGACTTCAAAACCCTGCGAAACCACACCATGGCTTTTGAAGCCAGATTCCCAGCTTTCTGTTCCTGTCCTGCACAATCCAGCTTTGTTTATTCTGGTAACTGGTCTGGGTCTCTCCCCACACTTGTTTGTGGTTGATCACTGAGCTTTTGATAAAGGGCATGGACTGACTGTATTTTCACTATGTACCCACGAAGCTAAGCATGACTGGTTTTTATTCCCCTATTCTGACATGGGTATGGTTGAAAATTGTGTCTATGTAAGTTAAGGATGAAAAGATAAGTTATTTTAACAACAGCTTTAGGTGTAAAGTGTTAAAACTTCTTTTGTCTCTCCAGAGGGATCAGTAATATCCACACAACTGGGTTTCAATTAACAGTTTAGCCAAGACAACAAAGTAAGCAGGATCAGAGCTTAAATACTGGAACCCACTGGATCCAGTGTGGGGTTCTTGTCACTGGAATGTGCCCCATCAGCATTTGAAAGAATAAAGGTTATCAACTGAGAAGGAGAAATCCGTTTGGACAGGTTCTTTTGAAAGTTATCTCTGTATACACATACCCGCATCAGTATCATGTGCTTTGGGGTAGGGCATTTCAGCAAGGTTATGGTATTAGAAATTAACTCTAAAATGTATTCATTTATTTCAGCTCTGTGATTACTTGGGCAGCACTTACACCACTAATATTGATTTGCTGCTTATTGAACTGGCCGACTAGTGCCCCTATCTTCTCCTAAATAACTGTAGGAGTGACTGAACAATGCATTAAAAGTCACTTTCATTGAATTGTACACTTGAAACCTATATAATTTTATTCATCAGTGTCATCCCAATGAATTAAAATTAAAAAAAAAAAAAAAAAAGAACCAATGAGCTCTAGTTGATTTGGTTTAGTAGATAGAATGTTGGCCTTCGGACTGAAGGGTCCCAGGTTCGATTCTGGTCAAGCGCCCATGCCCGGGTTGTGGGCTCGATCCCCAGTAGGGAGCATGCAGAAGGCAGCCAATCAGTGATTCTCTCTCATCATTGATCTTTCTATCTCTCTCTCCCTCTCCCTTCCTCTCTGAAATCAATAAAAAATATATTTTTAAAAAAACAAACCCATAACCCTAGCCAGTTTGGCTCAGTCGGCCTGTGGACTGAAAGGTCCCAGGTTCGATTCTGGTCAAGGGCATGTACCTTGGTTGCAGGTTCCCCGGTCAGGGTGTGTGTAGGAGGCAACCAATTGATGTGTCTCTTTCACATCGATGTTTTCCTCTGTCTGTCCCTCTCCCTTCCACTCTTTCTAAAAATCAATTGGAAAAAATATCCTCAGGTGAGGATTAACAACAACAGCAACAAAATTAAAAATATGTATATAATTTTAAAAACAAATAATCCACAGACTTGAAGACATGGAACCTGTCTGCAGGCTGCATTTTTCTTTTCTTTAAAAAGAAAAATATTCATTTATTTATATATTTTATATATTGAGAAAAAAACATCAATTTCTTGTTCCTCTTATTTATGTATTCACTAGAGGCCAGGTGCATGAATTCACACATGGGTGGGGTCCTCCAGGGTGGCCTGCAGAGATCGGTCCCAGCTCGCACCTCCAGCCTCACAGCTTCGCAGCCCCTCCTGGCACCCCACCTTGACCTGGCGCCACCCCCTCACCTGCTCCACCATCCCACCTGCAGGGCAATTGATCAGGGCCAGGCCCCCCGCCCAGCTCCCTCAGCGCCTGGGAGCTGGGCAGTGGCCCCGCACCCTGCTGCCACCACTGGTCACCATCTGCAGGGCAATCGGCAGGGTGATCAGGCCCCTGCTCATACCCTCCTTGGCCTGGTGCCGCCCACTCACCTGCTCCACCCTCCCACCATGGTCCCACTCTCATTGGGGCCCATCGGGGCTGGCAGTGCCTGCACTGCTGCCAGTGCCATGTCACCAATACCCACTATGTTCCGCATCGCCCCCTGGTGGTCAGCACTCATCATAGCAAGTGGTCAAACTCCTGGTCGAATGATGACCTGAGGGGACAATTTGCATATTACACTTTTATTATATAGGATTGGTTGATTCTTGTATGTGCCCTAACCAGGGATCAAACCTGCAACCTTGGGATATCAGGACAATGCTCTAATCAACTGAGTTACCCATCCAGGGCCAGAATAAATATTCTGCTAAAATAAAACCATTCAAAAGTCACTTTATAGGTTTGTTTTTAATGGTACTGTCTTATTCACAGTATCTCTCTCTCTCTCTTTTTTTTTTTTTAGAGTAAGCCCCAGTATCCAAAGAGAATTACTTCCTTTCCTATCAGCAATGGCTCCAAAGAAAATGGAATCCATGAAGAACAAGATCAAGAGCCACAGGATCTCTTTGCAGGCAAGTATGGACTCAACACTTATACTAGGGATCTTCTAAATTACTGAGTTAAAGTAACCTTCCCCCCTTCCTCTAGGAAAAAATACATCTGCATAATTAGGATTGTGAAGGATTCAAAATATATAAAACGCAGTCCCTGCCATCAAGATTCTTGCAGGTTTAGGGAATAAAACATAAATATATAGTTTCTTCAGAGCGCCAGTTAGACAAACTATTAAACAGTAATATAAATGTGACCAGAGGAATGATAGACATACTAAGGCATGGCAGCTCAGAGAGGTCTGAGATCAGACTAAAGCAGTGGCTTTAGACTTTTATGACCAAGACTCATAGTAAGAAATATATTTTATTGTCCTCATCCAAAATATATACTTACTGCCCAGCTGGCATGGCTCAGTGGTTGAGCATTGACCTATGAACCAGGGGTCACAGTACAATTCCCCGTTAGGGCACATGCCCTGGTTGTGGGCTCAATACCCAGTGGGGGGCATTCTGGAGGCAGCCGATCAGTGGTTCTCTCTGATCATTGATGTTTCTGTCTCTCTTTCTCCCTTCCTCTCTGAAATCAATAAAAATATATTTTAAAATCTACATACGTATATACTTACTAGAGGTGATCGGGGCCATCTCACCCAATCCCCATCGGGGCTGATGGGGGCCAACCCTGGGAGGGGAGGGGCTTCGGGAGGTTGGCCAGCCGCAGGAGTTTGGCTGTGGGAGCACACTGACCACCCAGCCGACTGGGGGTAGGGACCATGGGAGGTTGGCTGTGGGAGTGCACTGACCACCCAGCCGACTGTGGGGAGGGACCATGGGAGGTTGGCTGTGGGAGTGCACTGACCACCAGGGGGCAGCTCCTGCGTTGAGCATCTGCCCCATGGTGGTCAGTGCGTGTCATAGAGACCAGTTGAGCGGTTATAATAGTCGCTTAGGTTTATATGTGTATATATAGATATAGATATAAATCTGAAACAAGTTTTTTTAAATTTTCCTTACAACTTTCAATACAATCTGAAATTTTTTATTATTTCTCTTTTAATGACATTTGCAACCCATTGAATTGATTTCACAATTCACCAAATGAGACACAATCTGCAGTTTGAAAAACAATAGTATAGAATGGGGATTTCTTAATCTTGAAGATTTTAAATTTTCATCCTAGGGCCAATTAAGAGCCATAGGCATAGTGTTTTAGGAAGACTGATCTAGTGGAATTATTATATAAAATGGATTGTAGTGGACAAAGATTAGAAACTTCAGAAGGCATTCACAAATTAGTTCAAGAATGAAATGACAAAGCAAAAATAAGGTGATGGAAGTAGGAAGGGAAAGGTAAAAACTTTTCAAAAGAGAAATCAACAAATTCTCGTGTTAGTGATTGGACACACTAGGTATCCAAAAATCAGGATTGAAGACAGAGTTATAGGTTTCAGTCTAAGGACTGAGAAGAAAATGGTACTGTTGGAGAACTATATTCCAAAGAAGAAACTGGCTTTTGAGAGGAAAGTGAGTTAGAGTTTTAGATATTTAAATCTGAAATGCAAAGGAAAATGCCCAGGAGGGGATTTGAACTGTGGTGCTCTCCCTGGGATAAGAGGGAAGAGCTGGAAGAACCTCTTCGTAGAGGTCGAAGCTGCCATGGGAATGTGATCCTTAAAGGAGAGAAGGGTGAAGAAGGGGCAGGATGAGAGCATCGAGGGTAAGATTCTGGGAAACTCACATTAGAATTCTCCTAGGAAATTTAAAAGACAAAAGGGAAGAAGAGGTTAGAAGAAGATCTATAAAGATTTAGAAGATTTTCCAGTTCCTTTCATCTCTGAAACTTAAAGTGCACACTATTTAATCATTCTGGGAGTGATTATTTTTTGGATACAGTTTCTGGAAGAGAAATGTAAAATAATGAACTATTTTTAGATATATGACAGGTTGAAAAGAAGGTTTTTCTATCTTTGGGACCTTAACATTTATATGATCTTTCCTTGTAAGAAGACCTGAAATCTTAATGTAACTGATAGCCCCAATGGTTGTATTTTATTTACATGAACACATAGAAGATCTTTATTAGGAACATATTTATTACTAATGAGGATTCTGATTTACTTAATTCCCCTGCTACTTTCATAAGCAGCTAATACCTACCTCACTACTAAGAAAAATTCATAAAATACAGAAAGGAATGCTTACAGTGAGACATTTCGTTTAGGACTTGAGTAACTTCTCAAGATGTTTTAGATATTGACTGGAAATTTAAGTTATTATATTTTCTACATGATTAGTTTAGTGATGATCAGAGTATCTGTGATGGAGCCCAAAGGCTTTTCCATCACTCTTATCAAGAGTACAGGGGAGAGCCCTAGCCAGTTTGGCTCAGTGGTTAGAGTGTTAACCTTCAGACTGAAGGATCTCGGGTTTGATTCTGGTCAAGGGCACATACCTCAGTTGCAGGCTTGATCCCCAGCATCCAGCATGTGTGGGAGGCAACCAATGGATGTGTCTCTCTCACGTCGATGTTTCTCTCTCTCTCTCTGTTTCTTTCCCTCCCTTCCACTCTCTCTAAAAAAAAAAACAATGAAAGAAATATTCTTGGATGAGAATTAACAAAACAAACAAACAAAAAAAGAGAAGGGGGGGGGAATAATACAGAGAAAAAAGCATGTAAGTTTTGACATCTTTGTCACATGAATTTCAATAAAAATGCCACAGCTCTTCAAAGAGCTCTTAGTAGCACTCCAATAAGCCAAGGGTTTTAAATAAGAAGCACCTCCTGTTTCATTTCCAAACACATTTGTTAACTTAATTATTTGTGTGGGGCCTGCATGATGTGAATATCTTAAACATACTTCAGCTGGTTGCTTGTTTCAAAGAATCCGAACTTCTTATGTATACTGTTTTGTTTTGTACTCCCACAGCATCAGATTATGTTACCACTCTTTTCCTAAAAGGGACTGGATTCCAACAGTATGACAACTTTATTTGTAGACATGATTCACATTTAATGATTAGGACATTGATCTAGTATTTGGTTACATCTTATAGACCCCTGTGTCTGGTTTCATTTTAGCTCCAAATGAAAGTCTAGAAAAGAAAAAGAAACCACTTTCTTTGAATTCCCTAAGGGCTAAAATTGAATACGTAGTGTTCAAGCCAAACCTAAATGGATATTTACTTTTTTTTTTTATTAAAAAGAAGAAAAACATCTGAGCTGTTTAGATTTTGAACTTCTAGCTCCATTGCTCTGAGTTAAAATTGCTTTTTTTAAAAAAAATGGCCTAAAAAATGTTGATGCCTAGAAATGGTGCATAATGCTCTTTTAAAAGTATCCTCTCTAGGTCACTTAGAGAATGAGTTGTTCTGCTCAACTGAAATTTCCAAGATAGACAAAAGCAGCTCTTAAGCACTATTTTGTAAAACTGTTTTGATTAGAAAGATCTATAATAATAAAAGTGTAATATGCTAATTAGACCAGACGACCTTCCAGACTAAGCTGAGGCTGCCGCCACGGCTTTGAAGGCTGAGCCCCTTGAACAAATTTCGTGCATTGGGCCTCTAGTTTTTAGATATTACACGTCTTTTTATCCTCCTTGGACCACATATATTAAACATAACTTAATCTTTGCAAGGTGATCTATAACTATAATTGTGAACAATTCTTAAATTGAGCTAAAAATGCCTGGCCGTGTGGCTCATGATTGAACCAGGAGGTCAGGGTTTGATTCCGGTCAGGGGACATGCCTAGGGTTGCAAGCTCGATTCCCACTAGGGGGAGTGCAGGTGGCAGCCAATCAATGATTCTCTCTCATCATTAATGTTTCTATCTCTCTCTCCCTCTCCCTTCTTTTCTCTGAAATCAAATTTTTTTTTCAAATATATTTTTTTTAATGTGCTAAAGCAATAGTACCATCATCAGGTGTGGCAAATAGTCCTTTTCATAGGTGTTAGTATGTTTGTATCTTGGGTCCATTTTTTCTAGTTTATAGTTTTTCTTACTCTTCCTTTGATATCATTTTTTTACTGTCAGTATATGTGCCTTTTCTATCATAGTGGCTTATAATGTAGGTAACCAAACTTATTCTTCTTTTATGACAATTATAACAAGAATAAATAGGCCCTGACTGGTGTGGCTCAGTTGGTTGAGCATTATCCTATACACCAAAAGGTCACCACTTGGATTCCTGGTCAGGGCACATGCCCGGGTTGTGGGCATGCAAGAGGCAGCCGATCTCATGTTGATGTTTTTTCTTTTGTGTGTGTGTGTGTGTGTCTCCCTCTCTTTTCTTCTCTCTCTAAAAAAAATCAATTAAAACATATGTGTTTTAAAAAGAATAAATAGGATCCATATAAGATTTTAAAGGAATATTCCTAAGAGTAAAATAAATTGGCATATTTACTTTGACTGTGTAGTCTTTTTGCTTGATAGCTGGTTCTTGCCTAAATTCTATGTAAGAGGAGGTAGCCAAGTAGTTCTATTTAGAAATGAGAGATGTGGCTCTATTAAGCTTGTGCTAGAAGAATACTTCCCTTACCATCTTCCCTTTTTATACATGTAAAAATTTCATGATTCTTACTCTTAGTCTGAGAACCTCTGAGTATTGAGAATGGTTGCTCTTGTTCTTGTCATAGCCTATAGAACTGAAGTTTAACCATTAAAGACCCATTATTAACCTTTATTATAAAATATTAACTATTTTCAGATGCCACAGTGGAGCTATCACTGGACAGCACACAGAATAATCAGAAGAAGGTGCCAGCCAAAACACTCATATCTCTTCCTCCACAGGAAGCCACAAATTCTTCCAAGCCCCAGCAAAGCTACGAGGAGGTGAGAATCTATGCTATTTATTTGTGTGTGTGTGTGTGTGTGTGTGTGTGTGTGTGTGTGTGTGTGTGTGTAGAACTATGTTGCCAGTCTGAAGTTGAGTATGAACCCTGAGTACATATTTAGTGTCTGAAGCTCCCATATTCAAGAGTATAATCTCTTCATTCCTTCCTTAGCCTGACAGAGGCAAGTTTTCCAAAATCTAGCAATTATTCATTATGATCAAAATAAGGTTTTAAGATAATAGATGTAACAAAGACCTTTGAACAGCCTCCCAACTTAAAATTGTGGAAGTTGGTTCATTGGTATTGTTGGGAATGGACAACTGAACACTGATACATAGAAGGATAAGTCTTGATGTTATATTGGTACAATATTAATACAGGGTAAAATTAATAGCCTTTTTTATTATAGTCTCATGATTGTTTTCTCTTTAAAAGCTAGAGGAAGAAGAACAGGAAGACCAATTTGATTTGACAGTCGGTATAACTGATCCTGAGAAGATAGGTGAGTGTACTTGGGACTCCTTGTGACGTTAGGATGCGGCTGTGGGAAGTATAGTTAGCTAATTTCTAGATAGTCAAGTCCAGAACTGAACTAGCCGTTGTAAAGTACTTCCTCGTTATCTTTCCTGTAAAATTATACTCCATACTATGCTTCTAAGGCCAGAAACGTCAGTTACCCAGTACTTTACTTAGGTTTTTCTTGGCTTTAGGCATAAAAATCAGAGACTTCAAATACTATTAGAATCCCTTTTTAAAAATCCAGACATCTCCTTCTCCCACAGAGTTAATGAAACGATTTTATTCCCTTTTGAAATAACAAATCCCATTTAAACACCCAAAAAGACACATGTTCTATACTTGGAGGATACTGACTTTGTTTTTCCCTCAAGAAGTTTGAAATTCTTGTTACAGACCATTTATCATGTACTCTTGCTGTCCTAATGAAGTGGGGAGGTCTGCATCTCTTTATTTTAGGTAAAGAATAAAAGACCTAGGTTGAATCTTGGTCAAACTGAAATTAAATTTTCAAGAAACACAATACTTAACTTCTGCAGAAGTTGGATTTTTAGAATAACCTCTCCATCTCCCAAGCTTGTGAAAGCTATTAGTGAGCAGAGAGCAACAGGCCTCAACTTTCCTTGTTCCAGGTATATCCCTACAGAAGATGCTATACAGAGCCTTGTCCTCCTAACCTCTGGTTAAGTGGGAAAATGTAATTTCCAGCCTTCTGTCTATGCTGAATTAGAAATAGGAATTTATAAAGTCTAGTTAGACTTTATACCAAAACAGTTTGTCGTTAAAATGTTGAGTTTTACTTTTCCTAGACTGTTGCAATGGTAAGATATCTATGAACATCTTATACACTTCGCTTTCCAACAACAGAGGAAATTGAGGATCAGTCGTAGCTTTGCTGTCGGGTCACAATTAATTCTATAAAGACCTAATTCCAAATAAGGTCACACTCTGAGATACTGGGATTTAGGACTTTCAGTATATCTTTTTCAGGGGGACACAATTCAACCCATTTTTTTAAACATCATGTGGATCAGATTTATTTAAATACAAGTCACTGCCCTAACCAGTTTGGCTCAGTGGATAGAGCGTCAGCCTGTGGACTGAAGGGTCCCAGGTTCGATTCCGGTCAAGGGCATGTACCTTGGTTGCAGGCACATCCTCAGTAGGGATTGTGCAGGAGGCAGCTGATCGATGTTTCTAACTCTCTATCCCTCTCCCTTGCTCTCTGTAAAAATCAATAAAATATATTAAAAATAAATAAATACATACATATCACTTTTGAGGATAAGTCTTCATCTTCTTAGGTTGGTGCCAAGAACCAGCTGCTTAAAGCATTTTCATGTTCAAAGCCTGATCTTATCAAAACACCTTTTATTTGTGTGGGCTGTTTATTCAACATGAGGTTCTCATTTCCACATACATTAAATAAAATTAGAATCCTACTTCTATCAGGACATGCTTTTTTTCAGTCTTGGTAATTTGCATATGCCATCTTCAACTTTCTGAAATTATTTAGGAAATTAGCATAAATTTAAAACTGCTGTATTGCTAGCCCATTTCTATATCTTGTGAGTTCTCTGTACGTGCAAGTATTTCTCTTTCCTCACACATTTCCTCAGTGAGAGCAGATGATATGTAGGCAAAGTGTCTGAAGATCCTGCTTTGCTACTGTGGGGTATTTTGTGTGTGTTAATCCTCACCGGAGGATATTTTTCCATTGATTTTTAGAGAGAATGGAAGGGAGGGGGAGAGACAAATAGAAAAACATTGATGTGAGAGTGACACCTAGACTGGTTGCCTCTCGCATGCACCCCAACCAGGGCCAGGGATTGAGCCTCCAATCAAAGTATGTACCCTTCCTTGACCAGAATCGAACCCCGGACCCTTCAGTCCAGGGGCCGACACTATCCTCTGAGCCAAACCGGCCAGGGCTGCTACTGTGTTTTATGTATATGTGCACTTAGACTTTTCTTAATTGAAGGCAGTAGATTATGGGATTGACCTTTTGGATATTTGACTATGACTACTGGACTAGGAATGAAAATTTTAAGACTTTTTCTATAAAGTAAATCTAGATATCATTTTCCTTTTATCAGTGGTAAGTATCCTTAGTGATATTAGGCAATGTAGTATGAGTGGTTTAGAAGAGATCTAACAGCAATAATCAGTATAAAGTAATTTTTAAAATTGAGTATATGATTTCCATTTTATACATACTCTTATTAGGGCTGGCAAGGTAGAGAAGGCAAGCTCTCTATTCCTATATAGGTACACAGCTTCTTTGTGTACTTTCCCAGCCATCTCACTGAAACCAAGTTGCAGTATATGACCCTGCTGATCCAGTACTGCACCTTCTTCCCCTGGGCCCTTACCCCACAACCAGTTCAGAAGCTTAAGCAAGTAGTAATATTTGACCTAGGTTTCCTGTTTGGTGTGGGGGAAAAACCAAGGGGTGGGGAGGAAAGGGACAAAATCAACCCCAAACACCAGAGTCTAGCCCCAAACATCAGAGCTGTATCTGTCTACAATCCAATGGATGTCTTTTAAGTGCTCAGGGAGTCAATGGTGCCTTTATGTCCCTCAGTGGCCTAGGTCAGGACACTAATAAAGAGAAAAACAATTTCTTGAATCCCAAATTATTTAACAGTCAAAGGCTGTTTCAGAAACACAATTCCTCCAGAAAGAGAGATTTGTATGATATCAGGCAGCTGAAGTCTCTTCCGGCCAGGCCCTTTGCTCTGGTTGAACATGTTAGATGAGAGAGGTCAATGTCCCCCAGCACCAATGGAGGGGGCCGTGACAGTATTTCTGAAAGAGCAAACCAAGCCCAGAGCTAGCTTAGGGTAGAACTACTTGTTTCCTTTTGCATCAGTTGCTTCCTTTGCCTCCTCCTGTTTTACACAGCAAGAGAATTGTTTGGTTTTAGACAGATGTGTGCAACCAGCCCAAATATTGGCATGATAACAACTGATGGATTGTCAGTATCCAGTGCTGCTTTGTGGAGGGCATAAATGGAGCCTGGCTTTGAACAGGGGACTGACTCTGTCTAAGTCAAACTGGGGCTCAGCCAGCATCCATGGGGCATGAAATGCATGAAGGCCCTGAGGCAAAGTAGGAATTGAATTTAGGATGGTATATAAAGCTTGGATATGAAACAAGTTTCCCTTCTTAGTCAGGGCTCCTGTAGCTTATGATTCCTGGTTAAATGTTAACAAGATTAGCACTGCTTTGGTTTACAGAATAATCCTCTACTGCTTTCTTGTTCTCCCACAGGGGATGGTATGAATGCCTATGTAGCCTACAAAGTTACAACACAGGTGAGTCCAAGTGACCCTTCTGATGGCTACCTTAGTAGACTTGGGTGCTTATACCAAGAAGGTCGTCATTCAGATTATTTCTGGGTATTTATTTAGTTTCTTTGCCAAAATCTTCCTTCAAATTTCCTCAAGATGGAGCAAGCCTGCATCCCCTTGGTAATCTCATCCAAACCTTTCCACTTTTCTTCCAGAGAGCTAACGTTTCAGTGTGAAACTTTGTAAGTTTTATTAGGACATGCAGTGTATCTGATACAGTCCTGTCCCTCTGAGGAACTATGTGGCTTAGAGCTAGTTTGGTGGATTGCCCCAAACTATATATCACCTGTTTAAAAATTGTCAGTTCTTCTCAGGTTTCCTATGTGGAACTTATTTTAATACTTTCCCTAACCTTTTGCCCTTAGGTCTGGTCTTCCTTTTTTATATAATATTAATGCATACAAAACTTACACAATGTTGTATGCATGTTATGAAGCATAAAAAATGAAGCCCTGAACCCAACACCGTTCTTAAGATGAGTACCATTGAATCCCACCTGTGTCTCTCCCTGTCATATTCCTGCCTCACACCTTAGAGGTGACTACTCTTCTGAGTTGTCACTCCTTTATTTAAAAAGTCTTCATATGTGTATCCCTAAACAATATACTGTTTTGCTCTGTTCTTGAATTTCATAAAAATGGCAGCATGCTGAAAATAGTGCTTTCTTTACTAGGATTGTTCCTCAACCCGTCCATATTGTGTGTAGCTACAGTTAGCTTATTGTGTGATTATAACATAAATACTTATCTGTTTTTATGTTGTGAACTAGAGGCCCAGTGCACGAATTCGTGCATGGGTGGGGTCCCTAGGCCTGGCTGGCAATCAGGGCTGGTTGGGGCCAGACCAATCAGGGCCTGCTGACCAGGGGGCAGGGACAGGGGGAGGGACCGCAGGAGGTTGGCCGCCGGCCCCAAGGAGGAAGCCAGCCCTCAGCCCCCCCTGGGAAAGGGACCACATCTGCTGCCACCCACCCCTGGCTCCCCTGTCCCAGCCCAGGGCCCAAAGGCCGCGATGAGGTCAGGAGAGGAGGCAATGGCTGCCCCATTACCGCACCGTTCCCCGCCTCCCCCCACACCTCCTTCCCTCGCAGCCACACTGTGGGCCGATTGGGGCCTGCCGGCCATGGGGAGAGACCATGGGAGGTTGGCCAGCTGCGGGCGTTTGGCTGTGGGAGTGCACTGACTACCAGGGGGCAGGCGCTTAATGCAGGAGCTTCCCCCTGTTGGTCATTGTACATCATAGCCAACTGATTAACGGGTTGTTCTGGTTATTCAGTTGTAATGGTCACTTAGGCTTTTATATATAGAGATATTTGGCATATTTGCTATTTTTATAGTTATGGATTATGAATATTCTTGCATAGTCTCCTAGTGTACACACAGAAGAGTTTCTCTAGGGCAGGGGTCCTCAAACTTTTTAAACAGGGGGCCAGTTCACTGTCCCTCAGACCGTTGGAGGGCCGGACTATAGTTTAAAAAAAAACTATGAACAAATTCCTATGCACACTGCACATATCCTATTTTGAAGTAAAAAAACAAAACGGGAACAAATACAATATTTGTATTTGCATGTGGCCCGCGGGCCGTAGTTTGAGGACCCCTGCTCTAGGGTATAGAGCCACGAATAGTTCCCCCAGGTCATGGAGATGTTGGAAAGGAATACAGCCTAGTCTTTGCACCAATTTATACTCCCATTGGCTGTGTAAAAGTTCCTGTTGATACACTTTCTTGTTAATCATTGGCAAGGCCAATCTCCTTAAAGTTTGCCTATCTGGTGAGTATTAAATGATCTCTCATTTCATGCAGGCCTAGTCTTTTTTACTAGAAGTCTGCTTTATGTTGTCTCTCTACTACTTGTTTCTCTGTCTCCTGTAAATTCTATATCCTGTGACACCTTAGGGGTTAAAGTGTGTACAGCTTAGACATTTCATCTGATCCTCCCCCTTAGAAGCACTGTTTAGTCTATCTTTAGTTTGGCTGCTTTAATTCCAGAAGCTAACATCCTTAATAAGTCAGTGCAGGAAGGATGGGTTATAGGTGACTATAGAATTCTAGCTTTAACATGTTTCCATAGAGCAAGGGTTCTTAACCTGGGAATGAAACTGTATGCTTGAATTTAATCAGCTGCCTTTTGTAATCCTATATATTTCATGCATTTAAAATCATTATTCTGAGAAGGACTCTGTAGACTCCAGATAGCCAAAGGTAACTCTAACTCCAAAAATTTAAGACTCTCAGCCTTGGAGAAAGTTATTTACCAGATGGCTGAGACAGGGATCTGGGAAATAAATGCCTTTGATGACAGCTGGACAATTTTCAAGATACTCCTTCATTCCTTATTTGGAATGAAACTGCCTTCTGTTTTTTCTGTCCCCAAGACGAGCTTACCAATGTTCAGAAGTAAACAGTTTGCAGTGAAAAGAAGATTTAGTGACTTTCTGGGTCTTTATGAGAAGCTGTCAGAGAAACACTCTCAGAATGGCTTCATTGTCCCTCCTCCACCTGAGAAGAGCCTAATAGGTAAGCCTGTGTTCTCTAATCCGCTTGGGTGTTTTCTTTGCCTTCTTCTGCAATATATTTTCTACTGAAACTCTTTCATGTAACAATGTAGAGTCTTGTGGTTAGAAAAGAAATATTTCCAGTATTTTCCTATAAGGCTCATGAGTTCTAAAGAAATAGCACGTTTTGACATGTTCTCTTTCCTTTGGTATAGTAGAATATCCTAGTGTTAGCTTCCACAGGTAGGGGTGTGTGTGTGTGTGTGTGTGTGTGTGTGTGTGTGTCTGTGTGTGTGTCTGTGTGTGTGTTGGTATCTAGGAGACTTAAATGATTGCTGTTCCTTCCAAATTGAAATGTAAATTGAGTGGGGACTGGGGGAAAGGAACCTTCCCATCATCCTCAGTTGATGTTTGATCTATACTCAGAGTCCCGTGCCCCCCCCCCCCCCTTTTAGGAAACATAGACTCTGCAAGTCCCAGAGTCTAGATCCTTCAGCACTTCAAGACTGATTTCACAAATGACACACGTAAAGGACCTCTGGTTAATGCTCATGACATTGAAGTGGCCTTTGATTCTGTTCTGCAGTGCTGTTCTCATTGCCTTTCCTCCTATGGGCTTTCTTACAGGTGTGCTCTTTTCATGATGATTATTTATTATTTTTGCTTTTTAAATTCCATTCCAGGAATGACAAAAGTAAAAGTCGGGAAAGAAGATTCCTCTTCTGCAGAATTTCTTGAAAAACGGAGGGCTGCTCTAGAAAGGTAAGTGCCATACAACCATTTTCCTGAGTAACATGAGGACTAGTGAGAAGCTGAAACCTTAGACTCAATTGTGAGATGTTCACTGGAGTTAGTAGAGATGAGAAACTTGAGTGAATGAAAGATTTACACCTTCATAGTATACCTTACTTTCCCTAAGTCTCATACCCGCTCAGCTCAGGAACAGACCATCTTCTTTTCTTTCCCCATCCTGAGTAGGCAGGCAGTCCTCCTCTCCTTGGACAGTCAAATATGAATAACTGAGGTCTCTTTCTGACCAGTTATTTCTCTTCCCCTTTTAGAAATGTGGAGAACATGAACTTGAATGTGCTTACAAGCAGAGTTATACTTAAGCGCCTTATCTGAGGACATTTTAAAGCAATGAAAGACCTTGTAACCCTGCCGGCACTCTATGACACTCAGAACCAGGGAGGCCAGCCTGACTAACCAGATAACTGCTTACCCCATAGGTACCTTCAGAGGATTGTGAACCACCCTACCATGTTACAGGACCCTGAAGTCAGGGAGTTCTTGGAAAAAGAAGAGGTTAGTATTGTACAGACTTCATAATTGAATTTCATAATTGATAGCTGTCCCTCGCGAAATGAAACTAGTTCATTCAATGAATATTTGAACATTTAACATGCATATAGGCTAGTACCAGACTATATCCTACTTTGTAAACACCTATGAGTGACAGGTATTTTTCAGCCTTTGAAAGAAAAGAAGCTCTGCCTATAGTCAAAAGCAACTGGTTGTAGAGGTCACACTGCAATCTAGTTTTCTTACTGGATCAACACAGTGATCTATTTGGCAAGTCCTTGGCATGTCTTTCATAGGTTACTACTTGCCTCAAATTGAATACATTTTTTTGTGCCAGGAGCTGAGGGGCATTGGTTCAAAACCAGTTACCACAAACCACAGAACTGCCATGTAGCAAAAGTGTTGATTCAAGTGAGCAGTCTTTTTTTACAGGCTATCTGTAGGCTATTCACGATTGTAAGAAATTGGAGACAGCCCAACTGCTAACAATTGAAGAATTAAGTAAAACATATCAATACAGCAAGTACTTTGTTCTCATCATAAACAAAGTTTACAGAAATGTTTATATATATTTGCTGGAAGCATATATTAAAATAATGATAAAAAGTGAAACATGAAACAGCATGAAAATACAGGTGTAGAAATATGTCATTCGCCCTAACCGGTTTGGCTCAGCAGATAGAGCATTAGCCTGCGGACTCAAGGGTCCCAGGTTCGATTCCGGTCAGGGGCATGTACCTTTGTGGGCACATCCCCAGTGGGGAGTGTGCAGGAGGCAGCTGATCAATGTTTCTCTCTCATCGATGTTTCTAACTCTCTATCCCTCTCCCTTCCTCTTTGTAAAAAATCAAACAAATATATTAAAAAAAAAGAAAAAAAGAAATATGTTAGTCATTAAGGATCAAAAGAAACAGTAGAGCCCTAGCCAGTTTGGCTCAGTGGATAGAGTGTCAGCCTGCAGACCAAAGGGTCCGGGTTCTATTTTGGTCAAGGGCGCGTACCTTGGTTGCAGGCTCCTCCCTGGCTCAGGGTGCGTGCAGGAGGCAACCAATCGATGTGTTTCTGTCACATCAATATTTCTCTCTGTCTTTCCCTCTCTCTTCCACTCTCTCTCTAACAATCAATGGAGCCCTAACCAGTTTGGCTCAGTGGATAGAGTGTCAGCCCAGGGACAGAAGGGTCCCAGGTTCTATTCCAGTCAAAGGCACATGCCTGGGTTGCAGGCTCAATCCCCAGTGGGGGGTGTGCAAGAGGCAGCCGATCCGTGAATCTCTCTCATCACTGATGTTCCACCCCCCCACCCCCAAAATGTAACTTTTTAATTAAAAATTCTGTCTGACACTTTAAATCTTTTCATTCCTCCTCTGGGATTCCCAAGTCCATTCTTCCATTTCACCCACTTATCCCACTTTGTTCCCCTAGAGCAGGGTTTGTGTACACTGGGCACTGGGGACACTTCAGGCTGGATCCTTCTTTGCATTGTACAGCTCTATCCACTAGATGCCAGTAGCAACCCCCTTCCCAGTTTGAACAACCAAAATTATCTCCAGATATAGCCAGATTTTGGGGGGGGGGGGGGGCAAAATAATGCCATATTGAGGATTACTACCCTAAGTGTCCTAAGTCTAATTTTTCATTATGGTATGCTGTATATATAGAATTTTCAGCATCCCTTCCATGCCTTAGGAAAGTTCTTAAAGACTGAACCAATCAAATGGTTATAAATATTTGGCTCTTTTTTTTTTTTTTTTTGCTTAATTAGATCATCGCTAAACATAGCCACAATCTGAATAAATAACGTTCCTGTCCTTGGATCTTTAATCACTGGGGAAAATCCAAATAGAATTAGAGCACAACTTCAAAGACTTTCAAGACCTTAAGTCCAGGTGTGTGCAGAGTATGCTAATCCAAAGGAATTTTTGACTTTTGACAAAAGCATACTTGGTATTTAAGCACTTCATGCCTGGGTGCGCAGACAATCTCAACATGAGGTCACCTGGCCCCATAACATGCATACACTGCTTTCTGCCTACACTATCAAAAACAGAAAATGTTGCTGATTCTGTTTAGCATGGTCCTTTGATATTTTTTTTCTGTACATGCTGGTTATAGATGTGTCTGCCTTTGAAAACAACAATCTACAGTTCAAATAATTTGTTTGGCACGTTTGGGGCATGCCATCTGATAGATACTAATTCTTCTGAACCTAAAATAGGGGCAGCAGATAACTTGCCACCCCCGCCTTCTTGGTCTTATAGCTGCCACGTGCTGTGGGTACCCAGACATTGAGTGGCGCTGGTCTCCTCAAGATGTTCAACAAAGCCACAGATGCAGTTAGCAAAATGACCATCAAGATGAATGAATCAGACATTGTAAGTAGCCCTGTGCTGCCCCCACTCCCTCAGACTTACAGATCGGAAGCACCGAGGAATCCTGAAATTTCTGAAATTAGAGACTTTCTTTTTAAGATAATTCAGTTCCTTTTTTAAAAACTGCTAAGGAAAGACTGTGCTGTACCTATATGAATAGCTTCCATTAAAGCTCTGGGCTTGTGTGTTTCAGTGGTTTGAGGAGAAGCTCCAGGAGGTAGAGTGTGAGGAGCAGCGCTTACGGAAACTGCATGCTGTTGTAGAAACTCTAGTCAACCATAGGAAAGGTAACAACCTCTGAATGCACTTGAAGCCGGGGGAAATTGATGTCTCCAGTGAGTTGGACATGGGAGGGCATGCTGTTCCCAAGCCTCTCAGCCACTCAAATTGAAATTTTCTGCCCACCTGGTCCTGATGTTCCGATCGAAAAGATATGCCTGCATCTCCTGGCAAGAAACATCACTCATTCACTGTGGGCATTGTACTTTCAACCTGGGCAGGGAGCCATCCCAGGTACAGCTAGACCTGGGACGTGGGCTTCTGTTGGTATGATTTGAGTTGGTGGCTTATATCCACAAAATGATATCACAGACTTTAGCTACCTGGTCAAATGACCAATTTGTAAATGTAGGGAAACCAGATATGTCTCCTAACCCTTTCTCATTTTTCTCTAGTGAGATTTGCTAAAGGGCTAGTAAATTTTGCCAAGTTTGAATGCTTTCCTTTTCTGCCTGAAGCATGCTGGATCACCAGAAACCTAAATAGGCAAAAACCATTAGAATGAGACCATTGCAAGGGTTGGCCCAGGGCCTAATGCTGTACTAGGAATGGTTTTTACATTTTTAAAGGATGAATTTTTTAAAAAGCACATAAGACCAAATGTGGCCTGCAAAGCTTAAAATATGTGGCCCTTCACATAAAAAGTTTTTCCTGCTCTAGAATATGCAAGACTGTGCAGCGTGCACAGCATTCACTCTCATGCCGACAGGCTTCTTACCATGAGCTCTAGCACAAACAGAATCGTTCCTTTGGCCCGTTAGTATTAACTGGCCTCTGGCTCTTCAGGAATAGTGGAGCTGCTTTTCCCAGGTAGACCCAGCTAGTGAAACTCAGGCCAGCAGGTGCCTCTCCCCATCTTGTGGCCAAGCTGCATTCCCTCACTTTCTGAATGCAGTTGACTGTGGTGTGACTGAGCAGCATCGCTGAGACACGCCAGGCACCAGCTGATTTGTCCCTTTTCTTTTTTATTTTTGTGTCGCTTTGTTTTTGACTTGTCCCTTTTCCTTGTGAGGTAAGGGGCTCTGCTGTCTTCCTCCTTCCAGAGCTAGCGCTGAACACGGCCCAGTTTGCCAAGAGTCTAGCCATGCTTGGGAGCTCAGAGGACAACACAGCCTTGTCACGGGCGCTCTCCCAGCTGGCTGAGGTGGAAGAAAAAGTTGAGCAGCTCCACCAAGAACAGGCCAACAGTGACTTCTTCCTCCTTGCAGAGCTCCTGAGTGACTACATTCGCCTCCTGGCCATAGTCCGAGTAAGCTTCTGTTTCCTCTTTCTCCTCCCCTTAACTTCATTTGTCTTCCCTTTGCTCTTCCCCTTCCCAAAAAGTTTCATTCATTATACTTCAGAATAGCTGAAACTTTTTCTATTCTCAAGAGAGAAGGCATCCTGTGAACCAAGAAGTCCATTTAACTGTTAGCTGGTTATTGCTAAGTCATTTTGAGGCCCACAGCCAGTTTTTTAAATGCATTAGGAGAAAAGACCACTCTTGAATTCCCAATACGCCCCTCCTTATTATTGAAGCTGGACAGCGTCTTCATGCTCCTTTCTTCAAGCAAGGCTTATGTCATGGCGCCCTGGCGCAGTCATTTCCTCAGTCCTTTGGTCTTTGCCTCCTTAACAGTAAGCGGTGGCTCTGCCCTGGTAAGAGCTCTTGCTGGCTTCCACTTGTCCTCCAATGTGAGCAGTCAGGTAACTACACAGAACCGGCTTGGCATTGCATGGAGGAGTGTGGCCAGGGGCTGAGAGAGCTTGTCACCAGAGCCCTTTGTGTGCTGTGCTGACCACACTGGTAACAACACTGCAGCCTGCCCCTCAGGTCAAGCACCTCACCTTTTCTCCTGGTGACCAGGACACTGGTTTCCCATGACCTCTCGGAGCAGCCCAGGAAGCTTCACTGGGAAGTGGGATTAGCTCTCGCATGACATCCCTGAGACAGAGGAAAGAGCCCTGTAAGGCCTGCGTCTGCCTCTGATCTGACGGGCCTAGAATGAATGAGCCTCTGAGTTGCTACGGAGCCCCCTTCACTCCCCATCCCCCCATCTCCCTGCGCAGAGGCTCCTGTGCTGTCAGGAGCCGAGCTGCCAGGGCTCCATTTCCTCTGTGGGCCTGCTCATTGTCCTGTCACTTTGCGTTTTGGTTTGCTAACCCAGGGTGATGAGAGCTGGAAAGATGACCTGCTTTGGAATTGTTAGAACTGGTCAGACTGCTTAGACTGGAGAGCCATTCCAGGGAAGAGCACTCTCTGGGGAACCTGTCAGAGAGGAGCATTGTTTGGGATCCCTGGAGGGCAGAGCTTGGATATGGTGCCTGGACAGGGGCAGCCTCTGTGGACAGGGATGAGGGAGGCCTGGCCTAAAGCTCCAGTTGCTGGGGCAGCAGGCCTCAGAGCGCAGAGCTGCCAGCTGGGCTTTTCCCTGAGACTTCGCCTGCCCTCCTCATGGTCATGAGCTGGTGGTGAGAATAGAAAGGGAGCAGATTTCCTCTACCTCTCCCCAAAGCTGGGCTGTACCGCTGTGAGCCCTGGGGTTAGGCTTGAGTCTTACTTGGGTATGAGGTCACCCTTTACCTAATCCTTTGACTTTGAGCTGTTAAGAAATTTCAAGTGATCCTAGTGGCACTGCTGGGGAAAGTAAATTTGGTGTCATCTCACTCCCTGAGGTTCAAGTTTCTGCAAAGCCCTGTACCTCGAAAACCTCCAGGGAACTTGTTGTGCCAGGAAGGGGAGCAAATGGAACAGGGCTGAGAGGCTGGCCACAGGCGCACATCTCTCCCCCAGGCTGTGTCTGGAAGCCTGCAAAGCCAGTGGGGATGTGGGATGGTTTGGTTAGGCCAACAACTGTCGTCTGGAAATCTTGATTGTGGGCAGGTGACTAGAACCAGGGAAAACCATCAGGTGGATTTTAGGGGCTTTTTGGGGCACTTGATAGCCTAGAGCAATTGAGTGTATGGACGGGGCAATAGCACCATGTCCCTGAGGGGGCTTTCAGTGTTTAAAGATCTGTTGAGCTAACCCTGTATAGTATGTGGTTGTCAGTTTAAAGGTTGCTTTCTTACGTTGGCCTTCCCTGATATATCTCCCAGGCTAAGCTAGGTCCCCAGTTTATTAAAGTACCTGCTTGTTTTCTCTGTACTCTGCATACTTGTAACTACTTATTGGTGATTATTAACATAATGTCGGCCTTTTCCAGTAGAGTATAAGCTCCATGAAAGGAAAGCCATGTGTGCTTCATTTCCCACTGTGTTCGTAGTTCCTGGCACATGGCAAGCATTCAGGAGGAGTGTGTAGGTTCATGGACTGGCTGGCCTGAGGGAGGCGTTCAGCAGCTGTCGTACTGGGCACTGGACTCAGGCCGCCTCCGGTGCTCCCAGCCATCCCGCCTTGGGAGTGGCATGCAGCAGCATGGCGCTGGCCGCCGGAGGCTGGGAGAGGAGTCTTACCCAAGCTTCTGCTTTTGACATTAAACTTCAGCTGGGCACTAACACTGGGCTGCGAAACCTGCCCTTGCTCTGGCCCTTCCCTAGCCCAGCCACTGGGAGAGCCCCCAGGCGGAGCCGGTGGAGCTCCTGAGGGCTGGTTGTGCTCTTCCCCAACACCTCACCCACAGGCTGCCTTCGACCAGCGCATGAAGACGTGGCAGCGCTGGCAGGATGCTCAAGCCACACTGCAGAAGAAGCGGGAGGCTGAGGCCCGGCTGCTGTGGGCCAACAAGCCCGACAAGCTGCAGCAGGCCAAGGACGAGATCGTGGAGGTGAGGCCCCAAGCAGCCTGACGGGGCTGTTTGCTGGTCCCATTGCACCCGATGCTGGCACGCCACCTCAGGTGAGAGAGGTGACGGATTGTGAAGGACGGTGGCTGCTGGCTGGCCTTGAGGCCTGCCCTCTTCCTCTTCCCATTCACCCAGACTTCCCGTCAGTCTCTGCTGGAAGGGTCCTGGCGAGGTCTTGGAAAAGGTAATTCAGCTATGCCCCCCGGTGAGAACGAATTCCGTTCTTTGGGCGCCGGCCTTGTTGGTGAGGACCTGACCAGAGCTCTGCAGTTACGAGCTTTTCCAGATGCAGGATCGGCCTGCGAACCAGGCATCCCTTCCAGCCAGCCCCAAGGTGGCCTTCTGCCAGACTCTGACTTACACGCTAAATCCCCACATGCTATCTGATCTTACCCAGAGAGGCAGACAGACAGAATGACCAATTGAGGTCTCAAATATAGGATTGCTGCCCGAAAACAAGACTAATAATGATACCATAACGTTAAGTGATCCTTTTTTTCCTCTTTCTTCCCAGTGGGAGTCTCGGGTGACTCAGTATGAAAGGGACTTTGAAAGGATTTCAACTGTGGTCCGAAAAGAAGTGATACGCTTTGAGGTGAGATAGCAGATCTTATTCTCACAGGTGTGCCGTGCCTGCTTTAGTAGTGGTGTTGGTTTTGTCCAAGTCTATTGAGTAGAGAGACAGGTGGAGCTGCCAGTAACGTGGCAGTTGTTGTGAAAAGGAGTGTGTGTGTGTGTGTGTGTGTGTGTGTGTGTGTGTGTGTATGTGTCTTCATGTTCACGTCTGTGTGTTTGTTCCTAAGGCACTTGTTGCTGCTGAACTAGAACAGTTAGACACAACATAAAACTTGCAGCTGTCATATACCCTGTGGTCTCCTGTCCTGTCTCCTCCCCTTCCCACCCCCGCCATACAAAAAACCTCGAAAGACCTTGGCAGAGGCTGTTTGGCTGGAAGTGATAGCTCTTCCAGCTGCTGGCTCCACTTCCTGAGCTTGTGCAGCACTGGTCAGCAGTACCCACCACCATCCTATCAAGAGGGGAAGAAGCACTGTCTGGGTGGTCAGTGTAGAATCCTGTCTCCTATAGAAAGAGAAATCCAAGGACTTCAGAAACCACGTGATCAAGTACCTTGAGACGCTCCTGTACTCACAGCAGCAGGTATGTAAGTTACACACGACTTTCATCCTCTGCTGCGTGCTCCACAGACCAGCTGCCTGCTTGTGGCTTTGTGACAGGATGGGCTGGCCCTGCTGGAGGGGGGGGTGCCTGTGCCCTGCTAGAATCAATAATTAAAAGTAGGCCCTGTTGCTCTAACATGGAACATCCAATAGGGTCTTTTGCTAAGCAGGGTTGCCCTAATCCTAAAACGAGTTTGTTTTTAAGAACAAACCCCAACTCTCCTCTCCCTTTAACCCCTTGATAGCACCTAACCCAATCCATATGTGGAACAATGGCCCCCACTGCGAGCTAGGCAAAGCTGTGACCTCCACGGGATGCTTCCTCTGGGGCAGAACCAGTACTGTCTTCAGAGATTATTCTAAGTCTAGAGAGATACTGGGCCGTGTGGCTGGCCATTTCCTCAGCTCCACCTCACCTCAGGCCTCCCTGTGGGGGTGGCTGAGGCTCTTGGGGGAGTGCCATGGCTCTGTGCTTACTTCCCTTCCAAGCTCGGGCTCTGCCACTCGATGGGGGCACGTGCTTACTGTCCCCACTTCTTTACAGCTGGCAAAGTACTGGGAAGCCTTCCTTCCTGAGGCAAAGGCCATCTCCTAGTGGACCAAGGACACCAGAGCCCACCTGCCCGACGCTGCCTTTTTATACACTGTCCTCCTCCACCTCTGCTGGACCCTGACGCATCCTGCCTAACCTGACTTCTCCCCTTCCGCCCTGCCCCACACCAGCTGTCCCGTCATTCTAACCCTTACTGCATTTAGCTTCCATATATATTTTCTTACCTGAGAGAATAGTTTCTTGCTTTAAGCAAAAGACCTATAATAGGTGGTGGAATTATGGGATAGGGTGGAGTATTGATATAAATATATAAATACATATGTATATTTTTCAGGATGTGGTTAGGAACTGGGAATAACGTTTTCTGTTACTCCTGATGGTGCCATGAAAAGATTATGTAATAAAATATTTTAAAATCAGGTCACATGACTCAGACTGTGGTGCTTTTTCCTGTAGGCTGGGGTGCAGTTGGGAAGCAGGCCGGGAGTACTCCTAACCAAGGCGCTGCCCAGGTGGAGTAAATTTCTCTCGGCAGGAGTTCACAACTTTGTGCTGCTGCTTCCTAGGCCAGTGGTCGGCAAACCGCGGCTCGCGAGCAACATGCGGCTCTTTGGCCCCTTGCGTGTGGCTCTTCCACAAAATACCACATGCGGGCGCGCACGTACAGTGCGATTGAAACTTCGTGGCCCATGCGCAGAAGTCGGTTTTCAGCCTGGGCGAGTCTATTTTGAAGAAGTGGCGTTAGAAGAAGTGGGGGGTGGACACATAGGATGAACGAAAGGAGACAGACGAAACAAGTGTACAAGACGAGTGTGGACGGGAGAGTTGGAAGGGGTCGACCTCAGTGAAGGTACCTCAATCAGATTGAGGACGTTTTTAGCAAAGGCCAGCTTAGGAGCATCCTAATCAAGTTAATAACAGTGTACCTACCTATATAGTTTAAGTTTAAAAAATTTGGCTCTCAAAAGAAATTTCAATCGTTGTCCTGTTGATATTTGGCTCTGTTGATGAATGAGTTTGCCGACCACTGTCCTAGGGCACTGGAGCTTCCTTTTCTCCATCTACCACAGCGACAGGGCCTCTTAAATCTGTTTCATCCTTATTCCCACTTCTTTAGAGAAGGGTTTTAAAGATGTCCCTTACAATAAGAGGGGAAAACCAGTTCTCCTGCAAAGGAGGCAGACTTTCTCTTTTATGCCTACTCTGTTTCCTTCCCTAAGCTGCCCAGGGTGCTCTGAGTCTTGCCTTCTGATAGCAAAGTCTTGGGTTCTGAACTCCTTTTTGCCACCCATCAAAAGTCCTGAAAAGTGTAAAGGACCAATAAGGAGTTAACTCTATCCCCATAGACAAGAGCCAGGCACTCTGCTTCTAGGTAAGGTCATCCAGAAGTTCCTAAATCTTTTGAGGTTCCAAATTTTACTGTCTGTGCCCAAGAGGAAGCATGCCACCGAGAGGGCCCGTGTTGTCAGCAGGAGATGAAGGCCTTCAAAGGCGCCCCCTCCACCCCCCCCCACACACACCGTGCTGGCCTGGCCAGGGAGGCCCTTGAGAAGATGCGCTGGTACTGGGCTTCCCCTCAACTGTGTCCACAACTGCTTAAGCTCGCTGGTCAGAGGGACTGCCAGCCAAGATGCCCTGTAGGCAGGGCGGGCAGACTGCCTGTGTGTGAACACTCCTCACCCCACCACCATCAAAGTGCCTCTGCCTGAGGCACTTAGACCTTCTTTGTCCAGTATTTTTTTGTGGGTGGTTAAAGTTTGGGGAGTGGTAGCCTGAGGCAAGAGACTGCGTTAAACAGCACAGATTTCCAGCACTGATGGGGGGTGGGGGGGAGTGCCAGTGCCAGCAAGTTTTTTTTCAACAGGTTGATTTTTTTTTTAAGTCACTCATTCTCTTTCTACTCCGCTAATATTCTTGTTATCACCTTTGATTGTATCCTCAGCCTTCCTTATATGCTTACTTTGGCACAGTTATAAAAATACACACATAGAATATTTTGTATCCTGCTCTTATCATTCGACACTGTATATGTTATAAACATTTTGTCTATATTGTTATGTAGCTGCACAGACTTTATTTGTAAGACTGTGTCATTGTAAGGCTTCCTCGGAGTGACTGTACCATAATTCTGACTCATCCCTTGGATTCTTGGTTTGTTTGGTAACTTTTTACATTTTAGTATAATTTCAAACTTACAGAAAAGTTACAGGACTACCCCAGAGAACACCAATATATTATTCTTTACCCAAATTTCCCAAGTATTTACATTTTGCCAGATGCTTTATGACTAAATGACTTGCTGTATCTACTTTTGCATGTATTTTCTGGGTCATTTGAAAGTAAGTTGCAGATGTTGTATCCTTTTACCCCCAAAACTTCAGTATGTATTTCCTTAAGGACATTCTGTCATAATTTATACCATAAGTATAGTTATCAAAATCAGGAAGTTTAACACTGATATAATAACTGTTATCTAACCCATGCTCCATATTTAAATTTTGTCATTTGTCCCAGTATCTATCTCCCTTACAGCAATTTCCTTTTTCTTGGTGCAGGATTATATGTTACATTTAGCTGTACCACATGGTTACATGTGTCTCTTTGAATCTTGAAGAGTTCCCCAGCCTTTCATTACGTTGGCATTTTTTAAGAATACAGGCCAGGTAGTTTGTAGAATGTTCCTCAGTTTGGATTGGTCTCCTGGCTCCACGTGACTAGATGAGGGTTTTGTATGTGCAGCAGGAACAGCACGGAAGTGATGTCAGTTGGTCCCATTAATGCTGAAGTTTACTCTGATCACGGGGTTATAAGTTGATGTTTGCAGGTTTATCCATTTTAAATTTACTATTTTCCCCTTTGTAATTGAATGACGAATTATATAATTTGTGGGGAGATACTTTGAGATCATGTAAATATTTTGCTCATTATCCACTGTGATTTTCCCATTCTATAATTTCTTCTACATTTATTGGTTGGCATTCTATTTCTAAAGAAAAGTATATTTTGCCCAGGCCGTGGAGCGTAGATGGGTTAGAGTATTATCCCAATATGCCACGGTTGCAGGTTCAATCCCCACATACAAGAATCAACCAATGAATGCA